GATTATTCTCCCTTCATGCAGAGGGGTGGACGAAGGCCAGGATGAAGGGCTGCAAGTTAACAGAAACTGGGCTGCCTGCTTTGAAGATCAGTTCGGGATCAAATCTGTCCCTGGGTAAGCAGAACAGGACACTGCAGAACCTCCCACAGAAAATATAGCAGAGGAAAAGAAGGTTTTTGAAATCATTGGTCAAAGATCTGAGGGTTTTCAAAGGAGCATTTACCAAGTTAAATAGGTTTCTGTTTCGAAATGTCATTTTGGAATTGGGTGTATTGTTTTCTTTAATTGAGTGTTTAGCTCAATCAGACATTCTTCTGTGGCATACTCTGACTTAAGTGAAATCACATTTTTGACAGGAAGATTTTCTAGCCAAAATCTTCAGTCAAGATCTGCTGATTAGCAACTTGTGACTACAAAAGATTGTATCTGCATCTATTCACAAATGCATGTGCACACCTGTGCACACACACACAGAGTATCCATGAGTAATTTTTATACCACCTTGATCAATGCATTTCTCTTTCAGCAACTCTTTTCCCAATCTTCAAGATAAAAGTAACACTCATACATGGTTATTGAACGTAGTCTTGTAGAAACCTAAGGGTAGAAATCGCAAAGAAGTAAATGACTAGCTCAAGTGGTTTGCTTCAAGCTCACGAGGATCTATGAAACACTTTCTTTTTCACCTACTCTGACAGCTCTGCTACTTTTCCTTCTGATTTTAAATATTTAGAACTCACTTCCATTTGTGCTAGTGCAATTGAGTATGTGGCATGTTTGCATATCACTCAATTTAAACTAAGGTGCGTCAGAGCAGTTGACACTACAGCCGAGATGATACAGTGGATACTGAAGATCAGTCTCAGCGTTTAATGCCTTATTGCGGGATGCTAGGAACAAGCGAGTATCATATATAATCCCAAACAGAACAGAAATAATTTTTGCAGAAATATTTTCTTTACTGCTTGAGATCAGGGACGGAGAGCATCAAATGTTTAACTCCTCCACAACGAAAACACCAAATCATGTTCAAACATGATTTCCTGGCATCATTTCCCAGTGGTAGTGAGGCACTATGATAATAAAACCATTCAGCAATTTGTAAGGTTGACAGTTTTGCAGAGCTAGCAAATTTTCTTCTGAATAATCAGCTATCGATTCAAATTACCCTGTAAGCATATTGCTAACTCCTCAGCATTAGGATTTTCAGTATGAGTGTTAAGATAAGATCCCAGTCTAGAATTACTAGAGTTGTGCTGCATTTTGACACGCTACCAGACCTTGCCAAAAGGGCAATTTTCTGGAAACAATCAATACACATTACAATATTTTAAGACCACAGATCAATTGAAATCATTAAACTCAAAGTGAAAACTATATATCCTTTAGCGTAGAATTTGTCTGACTTCCTTTAGACACTTATCACAGAAGGAAAAGAAACATCTGCTAGTCTTTCTTTCTGCAGCAGAAACACCTCCTGTAAACTAGTCACGTAAGCTGCTTTTAAGTTCTAGGTGTTAGAATTCAGACTATGAAGCCTATTCTTAAATGGCAATGGAGTAATTTTCAATGAAGAGATGTTTCAGCACCAGCTACATAACAAAGACTAAAAACTGAGAAAAACAACTTTCTGCTCATGTCTGCAATGAGTATTTGATAAAAACATGACTTTTTCATCTTAGATCAGTTTTTTACAATAGGGCTTGATACTCAGGTCCAACACAGAAAAACATTGACACAGGTGAGCTTCTTGTAAAGGGGCGATAGCAATATAACCTAACTTTCAATCTCATACCATGCCTTTTACTAACTGCACTCTGTTCTGTTTGTTCAATTTCTTAAAACAGTAATGATAGTAAAAGTGTCATCTCCTTTATATTATATGAAACACATAAACTTCAAATATCTACTGTGCAAGGGCATTGTTCAAGCTGCATCTGCAGCCCCACTACATCTCAGAGGCTTCCCGGGAGCCTGGAACCTCCTGCCAGAAACGTGCTTTATGGGCTGAAGTCGGTGCAGAGCTCAGCGTGCCGAGTCCTGCACTTGGGTTGCCAGGCTTTGGAAAAGCTCCAGCAGAATGCCTGAGAGACTCCAGTCTGATGAAATTTGTAATCCTATTATTTACTACCTTAGCAAGGATTGTTAGGCATACACACGCTTTTCCTTGTCCTCTACACCTCTCCTGTGCTAGTTTCAGGCGTTATGTTATAGTAAACGAGTAACTGATGTGCTTTTTTAAAGCATGGAGCAAGCAGTCTCCAAAAAACTGGTGCTACAGGCTCTCTGTGGAGTGTAATCCCCTACAGACATCTGTGGGCGGTGGGAAAGTACTCAGTACTGAAGGGTTGAGATGCTGCCCAAACGTAGGCACCCACCTTAGCTTGCCCCAGTGGTCTGGTCCCCGTGCGATCACTGGGGACATGCGGCGATGACATGTCGGATGACACTTTCTCTCCACCACAGGGAGCACAGACTGCAAATCAAAGCACCCAGACCAGGTACAAACACCTGCCTCCTCCAGCTTCTGCTTCACCATCTCCAGTCTTGCCAAGATTTCTACAAAACAAGTCACAGGCAGCAGCTGGCAATGGTCACTGCCGATGATGAGGATGGTGGGAAAGCATGCCCTGGAGCCTGGTTTCCAGCAGAGCGTGCTGGGACCCTTGTGCCACATCCACAGCTCTGTGCTGCTGTGAGCTCCTGGGAACCTGTGGGGAAACGCAGCCCCAGGCCTGTGCTAGATGGGCCTTTCTGTACATCTCCACATAGCTGTGTCCAGAGGCTATCTGCAGGCACTCGGGTTCACATGACCTCACTTATTTTTTTTTACCTAATTAAAAAATTTGTAAAGGATGCCACAGCAACGTGGGCAGTAAGCTCCCCATTTCTCAGCAGGAGCTTGCGTCTCTTGATGTCAACAGCCTGAAGACCTCTTGTGAAGAGACCACACTTTACTGTCCCTTGCTTGAGGCACCCTGTGATTTCCAACCCTGGGCAGAAGCCACTTGTCCCAGCTGGTGGAGGATCCTGCCCTGTAGTCGTTGGGACCGACATCCAGATCTTCCCATCAGCTTGGTGCCCGCAGTGAAGACTGTCTGTGGGTACTCACGTGGTTCAGAGCTCTCTCACCATTCCCCATCCAGATCATTTGTATTTTCTTCCCAAAAGCAGCACAAGACACAGCTGCTTTGGCTGCCTGGGCCAGCACGAGTATGCCACTGAGGGCAGGTGGCAAATGCCGCAGTCACGAGTCTGTGTCCCCCACTGCAGCTGGAGCCGATGTCTTTGTGACAAATCCTCTCCTCAGTTCCAGCTTCACCTTGGCTGCAGGCCATATTTAAGTAGTTTTCCAGGGGCACTGACCTGCAGCTCCTTAAACGGCTCAGTTTTCCAGTTCGCCTGCAAACCGCTCACCAGTGAGAGCTGCTACCTGCCCACATGGCTGCTGCCCGCCTGCCAGCCTGAACGTCAGCTCTCTCCTCGTTGGGACTGAATGAGGGCTGTAAAGTCGCTTCTCTCTCTGCTGACAAAGGATGGGAGACGGGGCGGGAGCACTGACCCACCTCACCAGGGAGACCTGGCAGCGCCGCGGGGCTGGATGTGCTCCATGAGCGAGTGCGGGCTTGGAGCCTGGATGGGGCATCGCGCCGCAGGCTGCTGTGGCCCAGACCCAGGCACCTGCTCTCCCCGCCTGCCACAGAGACCTCCTGTGGGATGCAATCCTAAAGGCAAATCCGCATTTCCACCCAAGCGAGTCTCCTGTGTCACTCAGGAGAAGAAGGGGCAGCAGGCTGGAAGGAGAGCGTAGAGCTTGCATGGTAAAAACAGGCTCTGAAGAATATGCCCTCTCTTGACTTCAGAAACATTAAAAAGCAGGTTTTCATGTGCTCAACAGGCAGCAGAAACTCCAGGAGAGGCCACAAATGCTGGTACACGGCAAAATCCTGCTGATAAGGTATGCAGATGGGCTCCATCAATAAACCCTGATGGAGACAGCTGATACCAAGAGACAATCCCTGCCCCGGAGCTGGCAGGGTCAGCGCCCCTCACCACACCAGAACACACACAGTCTCCCGAGAAACCCAATATATACTCAGGAACGGGGACAATTCCCCAGTCCTTTCATCTGCTGCATTAACCAAGTAGCTGTGACCTGCCTATCTGGTTAGATAATGGGCTGTAAGGTATCTCTATTGTAATGGATTTATTAAAGACCACAGCAAGCACATTCCTCCCTGCAGGAAAAAATACCTTAATCTACTGCAAACTCTCCTGGCAAAGGCTCCTATTTGAACAGACCAGAGATACAAGTTTGTTCTGGTCTGGACAGTGTTTGAAGTTTCTTTTCCAGCTAATGAACAGACTTGTTTATAATGAAAGGACAGAGAGCATCCAACTTTCTAAACAAGCGACCTCATGGCGCTCTGTTTTGCAGCCTGTAGCTATGGCTAACCTGCTGCGCAGTCTCTGCTCGCCCCTTTATTTTCATCTCAAATATAAGGAAAGTCTCCTACTAAATCAAAGACCTTATTTTCTTCAACCCCAGCCTCTCTAACAAGACAGAAGAGGAGTCATGGGTCTTCCACCACATATAAACCAAGGGCAAAGAAAATTACTTTCCAGACTAATTCTCAAACCCAAACACTTGCAAGATGTTTTCTTGCCATGCTGGCTTACCTGGCAGCATTGGAACCTAACAGTTGCAGAAGAGCTGGTTTCTACACAGAGATGATTATTTCTAAATAAGGGTCCAACAAGAAATAAAATAAACCAGGCAAGCGTCGGGCCGGGCTCCTGACATGCCTACTGTCCCTGGAGGCACCAAAATGCCGGGGACAGCCCCCGCCATGCCTTCCTCCCTCATTTCCAAGGCTCGTGCAGGCACTGGTGGGGTCACTGGAAGGGCTGCTCCTGGCAGTGTGTCCCAGTGCACCGGGGGTGACAGCCACTGGGTCATTTCCAAAAGCCAGTGGAGCAGGCGCTGGGGTCAGACTCACCTTGGCACTCCACGTCTGGGTCGCCCCAGAAGAGCTCCTGGCACTCCCTGCAGGTCCGGCCTCCGAAGCCCGGCATGCACTGGCACTGCCCCGTGAACTGACAAAAACAAACCCCACACCGCAGACGTGACCACCTCGGCAGCTCAGCCCCACGCTGGCGTGAGGGCTGG